TTCTCTGCCTAAGGAAGCCTTCTCCCAGGAAGGAGAGACTGGAGGTCTGACACCTGGCCCAGAGAATGACCACACTGCCCGCCTGCTGCCTGCTACCTGGGCATGTGGTTTAGCCCCCAGCCTTCCACAGCTTGTGCTATCATCACCCCCAGCAACCTCAAGCTTGCGGTTCGTTTTCTAGCTCCAGATGTTCTTGAGGCTTCCACTATTGGGCCTGCCCTTTGACTCTCATTCTTCGTGTGTCCCCATGTTTATGCATGTGACCAAGGTGTATGCTCTCTCCTGTGAATCTATGATCAATTTACTTCATAGATGAAAATTACTGAATTCAGAGGGAAAAAGAAAACAGAATATTTCCCTATTTTTTTTCTATTTTCTGTACTTCAGGATGGTCTGAGGACTTGGGAAAGCTTTCTGGCTAAGGCAGACGAACCATCCCAAAGCCAGCTCATCTGCAGAGTCAGTCAACAGCTCCCTGAGACCTTGCCTTCCACATGTAAACCAATGGTCATGGCACACACAGAACCAGTATCCCAGGGCCAGGCACCAGACCACATCTATAACACCGAATCCATGAACATTATTCAAACCAGGATGCACTGCTTAACCTGCCCCACCCCACAAAGCACAAAGCAGGCCTAGGGCTGTCCCCTGGCTCCTCCCACCCCAGGGCTGACTCAGCATTCCCTGTGGCCCAGGGAGTATGTGTAACACACTTCATTCAGTGGTGTTGGCCTCTCTCTGTTCTCATTCACTTTATAAAGTCCCACAGGACGATTGATACAGCAATCCATCTTATTTGTGTCCTGATTGGAAGTTTAAACAATGATACATGAGGCCCAAGACCAGCATCAGAAATGATGTGGCTGTTAGAGATTTGGTTTGGTGGATAACAGTGTCATGGTGGCGGTGGTGGCTGAAATATTCCCAGACGGTTCAGGTGTGCACTGAACAATTTATGCTCAAATAAGGTGGCATCTAGGATTGGGGAAGAGGCAGAGGATGGAGACAAGACACTAATCAACAATTGGCAAGCTGCACTATGGGTGAGAGGGGTCATTATGTGTCCTCCCTACTTTGGTGCCTGTTTAAATGTTTTCATAACAAGCTTCAGTATCAACTAGGTGACTCCCAGACTGTGGGGAAAGACAGCAAGAAACAAGCCCTTCCTGTGAGTCAGGACCATGCACGGGCCACTGTAGGGAAAACCTGGTGCCAGCCTCTTCTTGCACATGGACTGGGAGACAAGAAGAATGAATCCCCCACTCCCAACTCCACCTCCACTTCCACCCTCACCCCTCACCATAAGCAAATGACTGATTGGAGAAACACAGGCTGTGGTGATAGCTAACGCACTAAAATACAATTTAATGCTTGTAGTGTTTAGGGTTTCACTGACTTTGCAGGCCTAAAGCCGGTAGTCTAATCATCTATTCAGAAGATAACAATACTCAATGTAGCATCTGTGGGGATCTCCTTCTGGGGGGGGGTGGCCACTGTTAATTCCCTATTATCTTGTTTTGAAGTCCTGTATCATTTTCATCGTTTTGTTGGGTTGGGTTTTATTCTGTTTTGTCTTGTTTGATTTTATTGTATCTGGTAGCATGGAAACTACTTCAGAGATAGCAAGATTTATTATGGTAGCCATTTTGGATTTACTATCATTTTTGTTTTGAAGTACTTTATTGCATTCATTGTTTGGTTTTTATTGGTTCTATTTTGTTCTGTTTTGTTTGATTTTTCTGTGTCTGATGGTATATGCAGCTATTTTAAAGACAAGAAGAGCCATTATGGTAACCACTGTTACCCATTATCTGTATCACTTTCACTGTTTTGATTGGTTTTATTTTGCTTCATTTTATTCTTTAAAATTAAAAAAAAGATGTCAGACTGGAATACACAGGTCTGTATTGGGACTCAGCAGCTCTTTTGTGAATGAATACAAGGGACCATGACAGCTTGCTCTCCTGCTGGTGGCCTAGGGGCTCTATCTTCCTCCCCTGCTGTGGGAGGCCCTCAAACTGCCCCCCAGATCCACCTGCCCCTCACCATGGCCTCACCTCCCCACCATCCAATAGCAGCTCCGCTTAGCTCACAGACGAGCCACCGGCCCCTCTCCTGTCCCCCAGCTCTGAAACACCAGCATCCTTGTGTTTTTCTCTTTTTCCTCTTAAATAAAATTTAAAAAAAAAAAAAAAAAAACAAAGGCGCCATGCTGTCCTCACTCTGCTGCTCTGCCTGGAATTCCCTCCCATCCCCTACCTAGAACATTGTTCCCCATGAAAGGAACCACCTTCTCCTCGGCCCCTTCCACTCTACCTGGAACACCATTCTCCATGAAGGACACCAAGTTCCACACCTACTTCCTACCTACCTGGACACCACCTCCCAGGCATGCACAGTTACCTCCCTAGGCAGTGCTTGTGACGTTTCATCTACATAATGATCACACCAGGGATATAGTTCAGCAGTGCAGCACCTACCTGGCAAGCACAAGGTTCTGAATTCCCCCCAAAAAAGTTATATACTGATCACACTCTGTCGAGTGCTTTTTTCAGCCAGTTCCTGCTTTTGCATAACTACAAAACTCAGAATCACTCCTCCTGAGCTGCCAGTACCTACACATCCATCCATCTCTCCGCCCCAGGGAACTCTGTATTTGACCAGAGCCATACACCTGGTACCTGGAACACCCCTAACAGTGAGGACAGCTAAGCCCCAGGCTGATCACAGCCTTCACCATAGCCTGGGATTGAGTAGTTGAAAGAGCCGGGGTACTGGAGCAGGTTGGGGTGCACAGACCCTTCTGGTACTCCCCTCCTGTGTCACAGGCAGGAAACAGAGGCAGAGGAAAGAAGGTGCTGCTGATTCCCTGAAGCATCCTGGCGAGTGCTGTCCTTTGAATGAGGCTGGTGTGAGCTTCCATGAGGGTTGAGACCAAGCGGATGGCAGTGAACATGCCCTGAGGCTCCCAGCCTGGCTTGCACAAGTGCCTTTTGAAAATATCCACGGTAATGGCAAAGGACAAAGGAAGTGCCCCTCAGGCACAGGTCATACAATGCCCTGTGTCAGCAGCGCAGGATGGAATGAGACAGTGGCCTGAGTCACAGAGCCAGGCGTGTTCTCCTCGGCGCCCAGAAGCCCAGCAACTGTGTCAGCCTGGAGGAGCCTCAGCTCAGCACGAGCGCTCTGCTTTCCCTCAAATGCAAATGCTCTGCATTTAAACTCTCATTCAGTGCTCATTTGCTTCTCTGGATCAGACCTTTGTGGATCAGAAAGCGTCCAGGTGTGGCCATGTTTGGAGACAGCACCCACTTCAAGAGGCATCAGCAGACGCAGCGGGGCCCGCAATGTGAGTCACACAGAGGGTGCCCCAAGTCTGGCTGGGAGATGGTGTGAACCAACTGATCTCCACCCTAAACCTGGACTCACAGGGGCTGAGAGCGGCAGGAACAAAAAGACACATTCCTGTGGCAGGGTGGGTCCCTGGAAGGATGCTGTGAGCCATGACCAGGACGAACAAACTCTGTTTCCATCCCCAAGGAACCGGGTCAGGATGAGCCCAGATGAGCTGGGCTTCTCTCAGTGGATGGCACCCTGTGAACTCGCCACACTTCCCTTCACCTCCTGGAATCCAGTGAGGGGACTGTGTGCCCAGCCACACCAGCTTCTGATCCAGAGCAGGGGCTCTGTCTCTCCACAGGTGATGGCAGAGGAAGCCTGAGAATCAGGAAAGGTGCTTCTCCATCCTCTCTTGTGGTTCACTTCAAAATATACATGAATATACAAGACCCAGTGCAAATCTAACACATATCCAACGAGTATACAAAAGGTCAAAGACACTGTCCCCATCAGTGACCCCATTGGTGACCACGGAAAGGGGCTAACGCAGGGTGTAAACCACCAGCTAGAGGGAGACTACGGCAAACACTCTGTGTTTATCTAACTTCCTGCAGGGACCCCACAAGGAGAAGGAGTTCGGACTGCAGCTGGGTATGACTTTTCCACTTGGGTGACTTCCCAGGGCCCTGCTGCATCCCAGTACTGGGACTCAGTCCCAGGATGGGCTCCTATTAGGAGGTTTCCTGCAGCGCTAGAGATCTCTGCAGTGGACGGGAAGTGCTGAGGACTCAGTCCAGAAGGACAAGCCTGGGGGACAACAGACAAAGCCATCAGGATTCCAGCCAGGCAGCCCCGAGTGGTATGAAAACATCTCAGCCAGAAAGCAAACCGTCCCAGCCAAGAAAGTGGGTACAGCCTTTCCCAAATGGTGTCCCACAGCACCCAGCCCATGGGTCTGCAGCAGCCTCCCACCAACCCCATGGTCCCACCTGCAGACAGACCCCAAAACTGCCCTAGAGACACAAGACAGGCAGCCTCAGCCCTAGGTGACCACCTGGCCCTGCCCAGCCCAGCCTGCCCCATGCCCTGATGCCCTTTGGTTCTGTGCCAGGGCTACATGGACCTCAGCGACCTTGTCCTCTCTGGAGCAAGGCTGGAGCAGAAAAGGGGACCTGGGCTCATCCCATGCACACTTTTCATCTCCTCAAGGGACAGAGAAGTGAAAGATGGGGTGTAAGGAAGCCCTCTAACAAGGCTGGGACCTGTCCCACTCCTGCCCTCTCCTGCCTGGAAAGGAGTTTTCCTGGGCCAAGCCAGTCATCCAAGTTCTGGTCACCAGTACAAGGGTTATCTGGTGGCCTGATGAACCAACTCCAGGGATACCCACTGTGGGGTACCAAGGCCACCCCAGCCCTGACCTCAGGACTACAGGGGCAGTTTGCCCTACACACGCAGTGGGCAGTAGAGGAAAGAAATGACCAGGATACAGATGTCACTCTGTGAATGTGCCCTCCTATGACTCCGGGTGCTCTGTGGGTTTCTGCAGCCCGGGTCACTTGTCCCAAACTCCAGCACACAGCAGGCCAAGGACACGGGTCTGGCATGGCCCTCACACAGCCCTCACACAGCCCTCACACAGCCCTCACAGGCCGCCTTACCGTGGCTAACTCGTCAAACTTGCCGAAGAGCTCGTTGAGCAGTTTCACCAGCTCCTGCGCCGTGCACTGGGACGCCAAGCCTGTGAAGCCTACGATGTCTGCAAACAGGATGCTGCAAGGGACAGAAGGACAGAAGGGTTCCTGAGGAATGATCACCTGGACTCACAAATGTCCCCACTTCCCAGCCCTGTTAGCACACAGCATCCCACTAAACACAGGCTGGGTCAGTGTGCCTGCAGGACAAGGACACCGCTCCTGATCACCCAAGCCCTGCCTCAGCCTCTGGGACATTCATCTCCCATGCAAGTCCTTCGCACTACACAGGGTAACACTGTCTGCTATTACTAGTCCTGCCCCGCTTCCAGAGGTCAGGCGAGCTGGTGGCAGCCGAGGGTACACAGAAACGGTGAGCCTGTCCACCCCACCTCCAGGGCTGGGGATGGATGGGCAAGTACTCTACCACTGCGCTACACTCCCAGCCTGAGAGAGAGCTTAAAATCTCTTAAAATATGGTGTTGAACTTCATTCCAGCTGTTCTTGGTTCTTTAACTCTGAAATTTCCCGATCTAGATCCCACACACACAGCCAAAACTCCTCAGGGAAAATGAGGGCACCACGTAATAGGGAGCCAGCACTGGTGGACAACAGAGGGTGTCACCCAAGAAGAGCCAGTTCCAGAGGGACAGGAAGCAGCAAGGGTCTGGAGCCGGACCGGGGGACTGTCTGTTGCCACCAGCCACAGCGAGGACACCCCAGTGACATGTCCAGCTCTTCCTCAAGCCCAAACCTTACTCTGTAAGATGAGAATAAAATGAGGGTCCCTGTGGGACCTAGGACAGCTGAGCCACTGCTGGACTTATGTCCAAGGTTTGTCATCTACCCATCCCTCCACTAGCACATCTGCCACGTGCTTCCCAAGGCTGAACTTGCCAGTGCCATTCTGGACACTTGGGACTCTGTAGTGAAGGAAAGGTTCAAATGCACATCACTGCCCTCGGCGGGTGTCTGCTGTATCCTAAGCAGAGGGACACTTAATAAAAGTCAAAAGTGACACATGTAACAGTCTATCACTGAAGCAGAGGAGATGGATGTGCAGTTGTGTGTCGCTATGTAAGAGGTGACTTCTGCAAGGCAGGAGGTGTCAGGCCCATGGAAACCAGGATGGCAGGGTCCCAGGAAGGCAGCAGGTACACAGACACCAGAAGGGCAGGGTCCCAAAGAAGGGAACAGCACATATTGACTGCTCCTGTGAGTTTAACTGGAGACAGAATTTTTTTCCTTTTATCTCCTATTGTTTCTTTTTTTTTTTTTTTTTTTTTTTTATTTAAGAGGAAAAAGAGAAAAACACAAAACAAACCAAAGCGGCGTAAGGGTACACGCAATACAGAACTACAAAACAAAACAAAACAAAACAAAACAAAAAACCATAACAGTAAGAAATTACCTGCTAGTAGATTACACACTATTTTCTTGAAAATAGTTCCTCAAATCACAGTATCAAAGAACACAAGGTGGACACTCAAACAGGGAGACTGCAAACAGCTGTGTTCAATGTTCCAAAAACATTGATAAAGTCAGCTATTTAACACCCCCAAACACACTTGCTGTTATATCCGTTAGAGCTCCTTTTCTTTTTTTTTTTTTTCCCTCTCTTTTTTACAACAAAATTTACACATCTTGGATTTTATTACTCCTTAGTGCTTATTACTTTCTTTGGGGGGGGGGAGAATACAGTCAAATATGGCAAAACAAAGCTGTCAGTCAATACCAAGGATAGACGTAGCACATGGTGTAGAACAGAGTACAAGTTTATCAACAATGGTTATCAACGTTGTCCCTTGTTTCCTTAAAAAGAATTGTCTATCTTATTAGATATTATAAAGTTGGACAAAACAGTAGAGAACAAGACCAATAAAACTTAGGCGTTGTAAACATTACAGGACTTCCAAAGAAGACAATAGTCAAACCAGAATGGGTATCTTAGGGAATCTTATTGTCTTCAAAGTAGTTGCCTATGTCTTCAAACTTGATACTATCATATAGAATGGAACAGAGTCTAATCAGTCAAAACAAGATCGTGGGAGTACTACAGGACTTCAAAACAAGTTAATAGGAAATCGAAAAGAGTTACTATTTATATATCCTAATTTTTTTGAATTTTTTCTTTAATTAAGACAAACATAAGAAATGACTAAATAATTTTTTTTGAAACAGTAAGGGGGAGATTGAGATAAAACAGGACATAACAATATAACAATAGAGGTCACAGCATGACTGTTTCAATAACCTAGTACTTCACCACCTTATAACCTGACTTAATAGTAGTTACCATAGTGTCTTTTTCCTTGAAATATTTGGGTAAAACTTCATATACTCTAGCTTCAAATATTTTCATATCAAGAAGCCCAGAATAAAGCCTTTCTAATTAATGAGTGAAAACTTTATAAGGCTTCAAGGCCACCTAATGGGGAATCATGATTACCACATATTTTTATATATTTGAATCATTACTTACGTTAGGGAAACTATTCGGTATTCACACATGCGAGATTGATTTATTTCACTTATGAGTATGGTCTCAAGCTGTGCCCATTTATTGATAAATATCTCAATGTGATCCTTCTTTATAGCTGAATAATACTCCATTGTATAGAAATACCACAACCTCTGAATACGCTGTCCACTTCTAGCTCCTGCGTTTCTGATGAGAAACCAGCCACTAGTGATACTGAAGCTGCCCGTGGATGTAGAGCTGTCTGTCTCCTGCTGCTGGAAAGATGGTCTCCACACCTTCAGGTCTGTTTGGTGCAGCTATGTCTTGCTGTGGGCTTCTTGGAGCTCATTCATCTTGGAGATTAATGAACTTCTTGAGTGTATAAATTCATGTCTTTGAAAAATGGGTATTTTGGCCATCACGTCTCCTGATATTTCTCTGCCTCTTCCTCTCCTCTGCTGGGTTGATGGTGTCCCAAAAACTTTGGCATTCTCTTAATTTCTTTCATCCATGTCTTCATTCCATTCTTCAGACTAGAAAATCTCCATGGATTGATCTTCAAGTTCCCTGATTCTTTCTCTGCCACGCAACTTGGCTGAGCCCTCTAGCAGATTTTTTACTTCTTTTACTGTACTTTTCAAATTTGGAGTTTCTATTTCATTCATTGGTTCTTTAAATAACTTATACTCTCTGTTGCTGCTCTCTATTTAATGAGAAGTTATTCTCGTGGTTTCTGGCTTAGTCATTTTCCTTGTTGCTGGTCCAAAATACCCAACACCCCAACTTCAAGGAGGAAAGTTTTATTTTGGCTTATGGTTTCAGAAGTTTCACTCCATGTTTGTCACCAAAAAGGCACGGTGGAAGGACTTGATTTAGGACAGCTGCTCACATCATGGCAGCCAGGAAGCAGAGGAGTTGGGAGGGAGATGAACTCTTCCAGGCCATGCCTCCAAGGACCAGCCTTTTCCAACCAGATCCACCTCCTAAAAGCCCACTCAGCTGTAACACCACCGTGATCCAGTCACCTTCCAAAAGCCCTGCCCATGAGTCCACAGGGCAGTGGGGGAACATTCTACACCTATCCCACAACAGTTTAACGATGCAGACAGTTTGTTCTTTAAACACATTTAAACTAACTGATGTAAAATTTTTGTCCAAGAAGTCCAATGTCTAGACGGTCTCAGGAACAGACAGTTTCAATTCACTGCTCTCTCAGTCCTGAGTATTAGTCATGTTTTTTAATTTTTCACCTCCAACACATTTCTACTGAGGACTGAGAAACACAATGCAGTGACTCTAGAGATCAGATCACCCTCCCACTCCAGGGATCAGGGTTGTTGCTGTTTAATTTTGATCTTGTCTGCTTCGTGACTTCTCTGAACTAATTCTGCATACCCTTGTTCCTCTGAAATTCCTAGAATTATTCCTAGAGGCTTCCAAAGCACTGGTACATCTCACCCCCGAGCTTCTCCTTGTATTTACTTGGTGACTCTCTGTGCCTAAACTGTTTCCAACACCCAAGGCATCCATCGTAAAACACCGGCCTGCACTGCCTCCCACAGATGTTCTGAGCAAAGGCAGCCACATTGGGCTCTCAGTCAGGTCCAGAGAAGGCAAATGTGATAAGCAAGATTTTCCAGGAAAGTTCCAGACAGGTCAGACCATGACACCTTGCTGTAAAGGGATCCCGGAAACAGCACCTGCCCCACTCCGCCCTCCTCCAGTGCTGGTCAGCTTGCCGACATTCACTGTGATGGACACTGGTTTCTTAAGCTATCACAGAGCTGAGGGGACAGGAAGATGAGGATGGAGCAAGGCAAAAAGCCAAAATTTCCTGAGTTGGTGCAAAACTGCAGTTCATTTCCAGAGTCCTGAGGGCTTCTTCCTGCATTGCATATGTGTCCTTGGAGGTGAGGGTTTTCAGATGTGCTCTGTCCACCACTGGATGACATCCACCCACTGCAGATTGGCAATGGCAATGAAGTTTGGGCATCAGACCGAGCGTGGAAGAGTCTAATGATGACGGTGAAAAGAGTGAGAGATAGTCACATCTGGGATACAGAAAGACATCTCAACAGCTGCTGGCAGGTAGCTGAGGTGCACAGCGGAGCCAATGCCTGGAGTCACAGGGCAGTGAGTTTCCAGGGTATCTCAGAGGCTTGGACCTGCATACAAAGCAGCATCCCAGAAGCTCCCAGGGAGCAAGAAGCTGACCAGGGGAGCCGCAACCCCAGAAGACATTTTAAAACAACTTCTTTCTGGGAAGAACTGAACATGAGATCAAATCTCTTAATCTTAAAAGAAAAATTTTACACTGTTATTAACCATTACTGGTGCGATCTTATGGAACCAATCTCTAAAGCTTATGTATCTAGCCTGAAATATTTTGGTCCTTCACTAGTGTCTCCTCAGGTCCCTTTCTCCTTCCCTGGGAACCATCATGTCACCTATAGGTCATTATTTGCTGAGAGCAACTGAACTGCAAAATTTACTACAGGGGAATAAAGAATCCAAGTAGAATAAAGGATCAGTGACCTATGAGTCCCACAACTTTAGAAACTTCACAAAAGTGGGTTCACCCAGTATTGGGCTCTTGCTGATGGGCTTATTTTAGTTGGCATAATGCCCTCAACTTTTACTTACATAGTCTTATAGAACTTCCTTCTTTTTAAAAGGCAAAAAGTGGCCTTTTGATGCCCGCATGACTTATTCTTGAAGTTTTTAAGCAACATCATTGCATAAAAAGTGTGTGTGCGGTGTACAACTTGATGTTCTGAAACCCATATATCACATGCCTATTATGACTATCACAATCAAGCTCATTAACACAGCAATCATAATTACACAGTCACCAGTCTTTGTAGAGTGAGAAGATTAAACTTAAAATTTAGGGTGCTGGAGATTTCTCTCAGTCACATAAACACCTGCCGTGCAACCACGCAGTCGTGAGTTCAATTCCCGGCACCAAAACAAAAAAACCTTACAAGTTCTCCTCTTGGCAAATTTCAAGGCTACATCACCACTAACTGCCATCACTGTATTTACATTAGATCTCCATACTTACTCAGTTTGCATGACTAAAAGTGAGGGTTAACCTAAACCTAACCCTAAACCCTAAGCCTTAAACCCTAACTGTAATTCTAACCGTAACCCTAATCCAAAACCCTAAACTCAAACTACCCTCTCACCACCATTCCTGTCTTCTTTTCTCTCAGCTTCTGGCAAATCAGCTGTCTGGTTTTTTCCTCTCTTCTCCTTCAGTGACTCCCACACTGTGCATGGTGAGCACCTCTAGTGATTCCCTTAAATTTCTTCTTTCCTCTCCATAGTTTTTCTCTTCTTGATCCTCTGACTGAATTATTTCTAGGCTCACTGATCTTTTATTCTTCCTGGATCCTTTATTCACCTTTAGTAAGTTTTTCAGTTCAGTTGCTGTGGTCTTCAGCTCGAGGATTTCTGACACTTGCGTGCATTTTCCATTTCTTTGTTGAAGCTCTCTTTGTTTGGGCATCACTCTTTTGACCTCAGTGAGCAACTTCATGAGAGTCCCTTTTAACTCCCTGCCAAGTAATCCACTGAAGTCTGTGTCAGTAGGGTATATTTCTGGAGGTCATCTTATTCCTTTGGTTGAAGCATGTCAGTGTGGTTCTTTGTTTTTCTTAACTGTCCGTTGGCATCCAGAGGCAGCAGGAACCTTACCCAGTCTTCAGGCCTGCTGCAAGCCGCAGAGGTTCCATCAATCACCCCAGCCCGAGACTCTGGGGCCTTTATCTACTGTCTCCCCGCTGTCGCTCCTGCCTGCCCACTCTGTGCTGGGAACTGGGGTGAAGGCTATGGTGGCTTTCAGCACAAGCTGCTCAGAAACCCAGGACTGGAGAGATAGATGCTCACACTTTGGGCAGCCCCCGAGAAGCAGGAGAACCAGTCACAATGACCAGTCTCCCTCCCAGGTGAAAGTTAAGCTGGGATTTTTCATCTTCTCACTCTGTGCTGAGCTGGGGAGGTCACTGATGTCAACCAGCTCATGTCACCAGGAAGCCCGAGTCCAGTGCCCTTCTGAAGGCGCCAAGGCTCCAGCTCACTGGAAGTTCTCCCTGCTGGTGGTCCGATCTCAGCAGAGAGCAGGGTCGATGTATCATGCATACCCTTACCCAGTAACGAGATGCAGTGAGTGTACAGGCAAGGCAAACGCTAGTGTGTCCTGGTCCTAGGTCACTGGCCAGGGAGCCCTGCACACAGGCTTCACCGGACAAACCCTCCATGTCCTCAGCTATGAACTGGAGGTAATACGTACAGGTCATTAGTACTGCCACGCCACGTAGAACAAAGTGTTTAGCCAAGAGGCTCTGAGCACCATTTCTGGAGTCATCTCAGGCTTGAATGCTGGCTCTTCTGCTCCCTGCCAGACACTCAGGGCTTTACCCCACACATTTCAGCATACTGCTCTGTGCTCCCCACAGCAGCAGGACAGCAGCAGCAGGACAGCAGGGAGAAAGGGCTCACACGTAAGCTCAGGGCAGTGCCTATGAGCTCCCAGCCAGGGCTGATTACCCACATTGGCATGGCACACACGGGCTGCTCAAGCCCTGATGGCACCATCTTCAATTCACGTCTGTCTCATCCCCACCTCACATTCATCATGACCCCACCCCCTCCCAGTCACCCCTGCCCTCCATCATCCTCTCCCCAGCTCCCCCAACCCCCTGCAAGCCAGGTCCCCGCCAGCCCTACCTCACGTTGTCGTGCCTCTGGATGTAAATCTTGTGGAAAATCCTCTCGGGGGGCTTCAGGAAGTCCTCCTTCATCTCCATGGCAACATTCCGGGGCAGGAGGCTCATGAGCAGCCGCTCCTGTTCAGGAGAGGAGCCCACATAAGGCAGCAGGATCACCTTCTCCCTTGGAGCCCCTCTGGGTGAGGGCAGAAGGAAGAGCTGGACCTGGCCAGGGCCCACAGACCCCTCAGACACAGTGAACCACACTCAGGCCCGCGGACCCTGCCCAGTGCCCGGGCCTGGAGCACACTGAGCAGCGAGCCATCTTGTACTAGGAGCCCTGGCTGGCTGAGCTGGCTGAGCTGGCTGAGCCCTTGTGCCACAGGGACACAGATGCACAAAGGCCACCGTCTCCCACCAGGGCCCTGCTGAGGCCATCAGTCCCCTCCTGGCTGCACGTGGCCTCAAAAGGTTTTAGGGCAGCCCACCACACTGAGTTGGGGAAATGTCCTTGTGCTTATCAACACACTGGCCCTTGGGTGATATTCCAGACTTGCCCAAAACTAACTACTAGCCAGGTGGGGAAACTGAGGCAAAGCCACTGGAAAGTACTATGGACAGATAAGTTAGGCAGAAATGTTACAGGCCGTCAGTACAGAGAATGGGACCACATCACAGCTGTGACTGGAGGTGCATGTGGGTGACCAGGACTTTCTGAGGCAACTCTTCCTGTCAAGGTCCCCTTTCTCTCCATGTCCACTTGCCATGCAGCTTGCTTCCCCTTGGAAGGACATTGCCTAAGGGTCGACACTGGCAATCTTACGGCTACCCACTGTTTTGTCCCATCCCACGCCCACACAGGTTGGAAATTCTAATCTTTCCCCTGTATCATTTGGATGTCTTGATATCATTCGTGTAACAGCAGTGTAGGGCAGGGGCTGGGCTTTCCAGGGTCTCAGGGAGAATCCACAGGCATCTGGGATGACCAACCAGGCGCAGCCCTGGTCGGGGCCCTCAGAGACCCACAGGGGCCATGAGGCAGTGTCCTCATCCCTCAACCCACCTGCCCACTGCGGTCACTGTGCGGCCACTGCTCCAACGGGGGGCCTGGGCTCCAGGTCACCAGCCTGCTGCCCTGTGCAGGGTGTGTGAGGACAGGGGACAGAGAGCCACAGGCAGAGAGGCCAGGCATCCAGGCAGGAGGACCCTGACCTCCAGAACAGAGACACCTGGGCCACTAGGCCACAGTGCCAACCTCAACAGAAGGAAAGGCTGGGCACCGGGTTGGGCACAGGGGCCAGCGTGGCACGGGGCACTGAGAGGTGGCTACAGCAGTCAGTGAGCCAGAGGTCCTCTCCACTGCAGGCATCCCAAGGAAGCACCCTGTTTTTATCAGGGACCTTGGTGGCCGGGAAAGAGAACCATGTTTTCCAGCCTCCCATTCATCTCCCATGCCAAGGAGAAATCAGACCGAGGTCACCCAGGACACCACGGTTTGGACAGAAGCCCTGAAGTGAGCTGCTTTGCTCCAGCACATACCCTGCCAGGGTGGTCACAGGCTGGAGCTTCCAAAGCTGTCAGCCAAAATCGATCTTTTCTCTTAATAAGCTACCCCAGTATTTCATTATAGTGACAGACAGCTGACCAACACTGGGAACTTCTGTAATATCCCTGAAAGTGCTTCTCCCATGCCTTTCTCCCATGCAATGGTTGGGGACACAGCCACAATGGCTGGATCTCCAGCTACCATCTTGGCTCATGAGGATGAAAGCTCTACACCAGAGACCTAGGACGGGAACTCAAACCAAGCCCAGGTTGGTGAGGGATGCTGGATCAGACGGACCAGGGCACCAGAAGACACCAGGCATTAAGAGAGCTGTTTCACTTAAGTCTCTTTGTGAAATTGCTGACAGCTGCTTCTTCTTCTGACCAAGGACCCAGTATAAGCTCCCTGCTTTAAAAGCCAGTACCTGCTGATAAGCAAGACTAAAGCACACACCCTTTTGCATGCACTGGATGCAAAAGGGCCATCTGATAAGACCCAGCACTCCTTCCGGATTAAAAACAAAGCAACCTGATACAAATGAGCTCATCACATAATGCAGAGTTAACCTGACTGGTTTCCAGGCTCCAGTCTGCTCTGAAGCCGTAAATGTAATAAGTATTAACATTGGAAACAGGCAGTGATGCGATAAATCCCAATCAACAAAATGAGACCCGCAGCCAGAAATCAAAGGGCAAAAGGTTATTGTGACTCCGGATTGACCATGGATCATACCAAGGATCGCCCTGTCCCATGAAGGCAATATTAAAACCTTAATGTGCTTATTTTGACGATCAATGTGTGATTGAAGTAAATATGCTAAGATTAATACAAATTAGACATCTGAAAGACGCTGCCAGGCAGGGCTTCCGGGGAAGGTGGGGCTGCTTCCTCCTCCCAGCCCCACTGCAGCCCTGGAGGCTGCCATCAGCAAAGGCAGAGATCTGAGTTCAAGAAAGGATGAGAAAGTGGATTCCCTGGGCTTCCAGTCTGCACCAGCATCCCCACCCACACCAGCAAAATCCAAGTCACCAGGCTGGACATCCACCCTCCCTGCTGACACTGGGTAGTGTCACAGAAGGCCACAGAGGGAGCCAAGCCTGTCACCTCCACCTGCCGGCTATATGTACCCCTTCCCACCCCACAGGGTCAGTGAGGACCCAGCACTGCTCTCCTGCTCCTGCCCTGGGAACCTCGCTCCTTCCTGGGCAATATGCAGGGGTCAGCAGAGGCCCAGCATGATGCCTGGACTCCTATCCTCCTGGGCAGTAAAGAGACCATGGGTCCCTGATCCCTACCTAACTGCTGTCACAGAAAACCAGCCCAGCCATGCACAGTGGCACGCACCTGTGAGCCCGAGGCAGGAAGATCACAAGGTTCCATTCAGCCCGGCCAATTTAGCAAATTAGTGAGGTCCTGTTGCATAAAAAATAAAAAGGAGCCAGGGTGGTGGTGCCCATGTGTAATCCCAGCACTCCAGGAGCCTGAGCAGGAGGATCCCAGGTTCAACCGCAGCCTGAGCGATTTAGCAACTTAGTGAGTGAGACTCTGTCTCGAGATGTAAAAACCTTTAAAAAGGAGTCGCCTGGGAATACAGTGAGGTTCAGTTCCCAGCGCCAAGATGGGCAGAGAGGCAGGCTGAGGATGCCGCTCAGCATGAAGGCCCTGGTTCAATCCCTAGATCGTGGAAAGAAAGAAGAAAGGGAGACATAGAGGGATGGAGGGAGGAGGAAAATCAGCCCAAACAGAAGGTGTGAACAAGAAACACAGCCTCACACACAGAACCTGCCAGTGCCCAGGTTCCAGTGAAAAAACACCCCTCGTCGTGCCAAAAACTGTAAGGCGCGTGGGCTCTGCACCAAGACAGCACACAGAGAGGACGGAAAAACTGACAGAGACCTCAAAGCAGCCATCGTCGGCGATTCAGTAAAGACACACCCAACAGTACGGTAGGCCACAGTAACCCTTAGGGAGATGCCAGCGATTAGACCACACACGCGGGCGGTAACCCAGCCGAATGGGTTTTCCTTGATACAGACCCGGTTCAATGCTGAATATCATAAGGCACAACATAGCATAGGACCAAAAGTAAAAATCACACAGCAGTTGGCGCTGACAAGGAATATAACAAAAGCTCTATTCCTGATGAAAACTTTCAGGGAAAGAGGAAGAGAGAATTTCCTCAACTTGACAAAGAACACCCCCAAGAAACCTACAGCCAGCGTCACCCTGAAGGCTGGGACATTGGGCATGACCAGGGCATGACCAGCAGGACATCGGCCCTGTCACTCACACTCAGTGTCACACTGAAGGACACAGACCAGAAGGAAGAAATAAGAGTAATGGGCTGGGCTGCACAGGGAACGCAAAGGTCGGTACAAACACAAAAACAAAGCAAAGCCTAAAGACACCCAGAACAGACAATTCAGATAAATTTGTAACACAGGTACAAAATCAACATACAAAATCAGCTGCATTTTTACAGGCTAACAATGAACGCATAGCACCTGACGCTAAAAATATTGTATGTACTATGCAATTTACCACAGCTCAAAAAAAAAAAAGAAATACTTGGGTATAGATTTAACCAGGTACAGAATCTGGACACCAAAGACTACAAAATACTGATTAAGGAGGTCAGAGAAAAACTAAATAAATGGAACATACTTTTATGGATTGAAAGATTCAATATAGTAAAGATGCAAATTCTCTCCAAATAAATACACAATTTAACACCAAGTCTATCAACATCCCAGCAACATCTCTATAGATAGAAATAAGATGGTTCTAAAATTCATACAGAAAGACAAGGAATGAGAAGGACTAACATTTTTTTAAAAAACCAACAAGATGGAAAGAATCACCCTACTCAGTCTTAAAAGTTTGTATTCTTTTAGAAAGCAGTAATAATCACCACTATGTGTATTGGTAAAAGGATCAACACACAAAACATTACAATGTCTCACTGCCTAAAACCCAGAATAATACCACATAAATACGTCCAATTGGTTTTTATCAAAGGTCTGAAAATCACTCAGTGGAGGATGGGTAGTCTTTGCAGCAAAGACAAGAGCAACTGCATATCCACAGCCATAAAAACAAACCTTGGCTTAGATCTCACGCCTTCCCCCAAAATTAACTTAAAGGTTTAACTCTAAGCTATAAAACTCTTAGAAGAAAACTCATGAGAAAATCTTCAGGAACTAATGCTCGTCTCTGAAGATTTAACTTCAGACCAAGGAAAAAGGAACAGACTTATTTATTAATGTATTCATCCAACCACGTGTTTGTCTGTACAATTAAAAATTGCTAAGTAAAATCTCATCAAAATGAAACATGTTTGTTCAGCGAGTCGCTGTTAGAGGACCAAAAGACAAGCTCCGAGCAGGGACAGAAGATTTGCAAACCATGTCGTCAACCAAGGACTCGGGTCCAACACATGAGGAATTCTCAGAGCTCAGCAAACTCATGCAAAACCCAAAGAAAGTGAGCCACAGACAAGAACACAGACATCACTGGGAGCATGATGCCCAGACACTCTGGGAAATCATCGAGCTATTTCTCAATCAATTAAGCATGCAGACACCACAGGATC